TGATCACATTGATGGATTCGGCCAAGAGTACGAGTGCAAGAGGAAAAAGAGAGGCATGTTGTTGTAAAAGTTTTTTCAGATTGCGGCAAACGTGCAAAACTTTGTGCTCAAGCAAAAGGTGGAAACCGTAAATGCACTAATCTTGCTGCCTCAGGGGGCCAGCGTTTTCTAATCTGGCTGCCTCAGGGGGCCCAGCTTGCAGGTACACAGTTCAGCGTCCTGAACTGCTTCCCACTCCATGGCATAGCTTCGTTGCATTGGGTCTGCCAAGGAGTGCCCAATGCCCCTGCAACAGTTGATTTGGTAAATGTCCAATGTCGGATTATGTTGAAAAGCAAAATTGCAAACAGTGTAGGAGTGACCCTCTGCTCCCATGTGCTAGGGAGGTTCACACACACACACACACACACACACAGCTCGCAGACAGCACAGGTAGAGTACTCTAGGAGCTTGTAGAAAGCAGTAGCCCTGTAGGGTGCCCCGCACTTTAGGAGCTCTAGAGTAGGTAGTTCTGGCCCACACTAGGAGCTTGTAGAAAGCAGTAGCCGTAGGGTAGTTCTGCCCCACATGCACTAGGAGCTTGTAGAAAGCAGCTAGTAGCCCTGTATAGGGTAGTTCTGCACCACACTAGAAGCTTGTAGACAGCAGTAGCCCTGTAGGGTACTTAAAGCAGTAGCCCGGGTTGGTCGTAGCTGTTGGTTAAGGCCTCGTACCTAAACCCTTTAAAGAGCCGAGGCCTCTTGTCGGAGCTCCTAAGCTAGTGAGTAGTGTAGCTTGAGAAAGCTAGTACTTTAGGAAACTTGAAGCCTAGCTAGAAGGTCTAGGCGCCCTAGTGAGCCATGGCCATGGCAAGCCTGAATAAGGCGTTTTTTTTCTTGGTGTTCCTGGTGCTGAGCCTGAAGAAGGCGGCCGGTGGCGCGGGCCTTCCCTGGTGGAGGGTCCGTTACCACCAGGCCAACAAGTGCTATGTGGTAGTCCGAGAGGACTTGGCCTCCTGGCGAGAACTCACGGAGGATGAGTTGGTCGCTTTGGAGAGGGTGATGAAAACCAGCCCCGAGATCCTCCGGTACATGTTAGAGTCGGGATGGAATGGGGCGAGCCTGCAAAGGCCTTTCTGGAGCCCGGGGAGGGCATGCTGGCAACGGGAGTTCGAAACCACGTATGCGGCAAAAGAGATCCCGATCGGCGCCAAGCCGAAGGCGAAAGCCAACAAGCAGGGCAGCTCGCAAAGAGCCAAGAGCAGGAACAAAGCAAAAAGCTCGAACAGAGCAACTAGCCAGCCTCCGAAAAAAGAGCCGAAGGAAGAATATTCCTACACGTATACGAACTATACACCGACGGAGGAGGCGGAGCCTGAAGAAGGCAAAAAAGGCCGAAGAGGCCAAGAAGTCAAGTTCGAGTGCAGAAGCCAGCGATGGCAGGACGACACCGACGACGACGGTGACCCCGTCCGATACTCGAACCAAGAACAGTGGGGGAGCCATGGCTGGCAAGCCAGCAGCAGTTCCTGGGAGCCTGCACAAGGCAGCTGGCAGGGCTGGGGCGGGAGCCAGGAATGGCAAAGTTGGGGCTGGACGGAATGGCAAGAATGGACTCAGCCGAGTCCGTGGCAGGACCACAGCACATGGGGAGATTGGTCCTTTGCCAGCCAGCACAAGTCCGAACAGGACTATTACAAAGGAAAAATGAAGTCTGAAAAGGACAAGTCCGAAAAGGACCCCGACGAGATCGACACGGACGAGGAAAGCTCGACCTTTAAGGTCAGCAGGGGCTACCTGTCCCAGTGTCGGCGGCTGGAGCGACGGAAGTTGCAAAGAGAAGGCCGGGCAGTGCCTCCGGAGCTCCAGCCCCGACAGACAGCAATGTCGCAGAAGAAAAACGACATCCGCCGCCACCTCCAAATTCAGCTCAACTTTTTGGAGGAGGAGCTCGAAAAGAGCAGGTCCAAGACCCAGAGGGACGAACTCTGGATCACGATCACGCAAAGAAAGAAAGACCTGAAACAGCTCTATCTGGACATAGGGCTGGGGCAGCCTGCAGAAGGCAGTGCCTCCAGTTCTTCGGCTGCAGCTGGCAGCCAGCCCCCTCCAGAGCCTGCAAAAGACAAGGGCAAATCCCCTCCAGAGCGGCAAGGCGGCAGCAAAGGCTGCTACCCGGGATCCGCCAGGCACCGTCAGCAAAGCGGCGAGCAAGCTGGCCAAGGGTTCCTGGAAGCCTGCACAAGGCTCAACTCAGCCTGCACAAGGCTCATTTGCAGATCAGCCTGCACAAGGCTCTGCACAAGGCTCAGAGCGGCTCAGCCGCAAAGGTAGAAGAAAAAGAAGAGGATGATGAAAAAGAGGAGAAGCCTGAACAAGGCGACGACGACACTTGCAACGAACCACAGCCCGAGCAGGGCCAAAAGGACAATGACGACGACAAGCCCGAAGAGGGCAGGACGAGGGTGAAAGAAGAGCCCGACTACAACTGAAGCCCGAGCAGGGCAGCACAAGCCCGAACAGGCAAAGGGTCAAAGAACCCTGCTGACGGCTGCTCGCAGCCAGCAAAAAAAGCTGGGCGAGCCTTGGTTTCGGTGGTTTGGGGTTTAGGGGTTAATGGTTTAGGTGTTAATGGTTCGAGCTTTAGGGTTTAAGGGTTAAAGGTTTGGGGTTTAGTGGCTTAGGGGGTCTCGGGTTTACGGGTTTAGGGGCTTCGGGTTTAATGGTTAATGGTTTAGGGGTTAATGGTTCGGGCTTTAGGGTTTAGGGGTTAAGGGTTTGGGGTTTAGTGGCTTAGGGAGTTTCGGGTTTAGGGGTTTAGGGGCTTCGGGTTTAGGGGTTTAGGGTTTGGGGCTTAATGGTTTAATGGTTCTTAGGGGTTTCGGGTTTAGGGGTTTAGGGGCTTCGGGTTTAGGGGTTTCGGGTTTAAGGGTTAATGGTTTAATGGTTAATGGTCCGGGCTTTAGGGTTTAGGAGTTAAGGGTTTGGGGTTTAGTGGCTTAGGGGGTTTCGGGTTTAGGGGTTTAGGGGCTTCGGGTTTAGGGGTTTCGGGTTTAGGGGTTAATGGCTTAATGGTTAATGGTCCGGGCTTTAGGGTTTAGGGGTTAAGGGTGTGGGGTTTAGTGGCTTAAGGGGTTTATGGTTTTTTTTTTTAAAGTTGATGTGCACTCCCCTTTCCTCCGCGGTGCTGGCAATTTTGCCCTCAACTGTGAAACACAACATCCATAGTAGTAGTACCCCCCGAGGACGAAGTAGTGTCTCCACCCATAGCAGAGATTTCACTTGGTACTCCCATAGCGACACCGCCAGACGTAGTTCTTCGTGGACTGCGAGAACGAGCATCACCTTCACATACGGCAGAACGTCCATCATCTCCAGGGCCTTCACATACGCCTGAACGTCCATCTTCTCCAGGAGCCACAGAACGACCGCCACGATCACCAGGGGAATGTGGAAGCAAGGCCAGTGGCAGTGTATAGGGATCCACCCACGCAGATTCCATGCCACATTGCAGTGTATGTGCCACACCATTGATGACCTCACCCACGAACGCCGCAGAGAGTGGGTTTCGGGTTTAGGGGTTTAGGGGTTTCGGGTTTTGGGTGCTAGTGGTTTAGGGTCTAATGCTTCGGGCTTTAGGGTTTAGGGGTTCAGGGTTTGGGGCTTAGTGGTTTAAACCTTAAACCCTCAATCCTAAACAGAAACCTCAGCCCCTAAACCCAGAACCCGGTACCCCTAAACCTTTCAGCCCCTAACCTTAGAATCCAAGACCACAACTTTAAAGACCTTTTACCTAGACCCCCTGTCCCCTAAACCCATAAACCCCTTAACCCGAAACCCCGAAGCCCCTAAACCCGAAACCCCTACACCCCTAAACCCGAAACCCCCTACCAGCACTCACCACTCACCACCCACCACCCACCACCACACTTGCCACCATCCCCACCACCCGCCACCCACCACCCCACCACCCACCACCACACAAGCCACCATCCCCACTCCGCCACCCCACCACCATCCACCACCCCCATCCGCCATCCACCACCCACCACCACCCACCACCAATGCGCCGATTTTCCCTTCCGGGCCTCCACCAAAGCAGATTCGTACAAAAAACCAGCACCCCAGCACCCACCACCCAGCACCCACCACCCAGCACCCACCACCCCCCACCACGCCAGCATCATCCACCATCCACCAACTGAGCATCATGCACACAAATCATTCACCCACTCCATCCACCCACCACCCACCACCCATCTCCCAACAACAGCCAGCAGCCCACCATTATCGCCAGCTTCACCACCACCACAATCACCACCAACACCCACACCATAAAACCCCAAAGCCCCAAAACTGACACCTGAACTCTATAATCTCTAAAAAGCAAACCCCCTGAACCCTGATCGCAATGTTAAAACCTTGAAACCCAGGCCGAAACCCTAATTCCATTCAAAACCACAAATCCTAAACCATCAAAAAAAATAGGCTTAAACTTTTTAGAGTTTTTTAAACACCAAATCTGTGCATGTGTGTGCATGATGTACCAGACTCGAGAAGCCAGTTAAAGCACTTTGGTCCGGTAGGCTGAACAAGCCAAGTTTAAACTAGCTAACAACCTTAGGCCGAGGCCTCTGGTCGGAGTCATGCACAGCTAGCAAAAAAAATTAAGCTTTAGGATCTAGAACAATGGCCTCCAAGAAAAGACCCGCTTCGGTGAAGACGCCCTTGACACCTACACCACCGCCTGCCAAGGCAAGGGCAGCCTGTGAAGGTTTTTTTTTTGGCTTGACTGGACCTCGTCGACTGGGCTGTAGCACTTGCCCAGAGCTTCCAAAGATGTTTAAATAATTTTTAGATATCTTTAATCATCTTGGTTAAGCACTATAGTGTCTATTTAAGCATGGTATATAAATGGCAAAAACAATGCTTAATTAAGAAATGTTATTTTATGTATATGCATCCCAATATTATATACATGCATGCGGACGATCGACTGCACGTGTTTTTTCCTCCCAAGGATCACGTGCCGATCTCGAGTCGAGGAACTTTATTAGCTGCCAGGAATCGTCTGAGAACTTGACAAGAAACAGCATACATCGAAAACTTGCCACCACGCCGTTTGCCCAGCAATGCTAGGGTATGCCCATAGCTCTCATCCCTGTAGGTCCAGGTCTTGCTAGGGTTCACCTCGCCCCTGGCCAATTCAAACAGCTGATGGGCTTTAGGTTTAACCCTGAAGAGCTTGTCCACTTCGAAGTAAGTCTCGAGGCTGCCCCAGAGTAAAAGAAACTTCTGAGAAGAAACTCTGAAGACTTCCTTGTCCCAAGCTGCAGTGCTGAGACAGGCATATATGGACTGCAAAGCTTCTGTGCCATGCAACATCGCCTGTTCAGCAGGTTTTGCTGGCGACAAATACTTTCTAGCCATTTCCATGGCAGCACCGACGAGTGCTCGAGCTTCCCCCGCTTTGGCTCTCAACTTGGGAGATTTGATCTTGCCTCGATCCTCTTCACGAAGCATGGTGGGAAGGAGCTTCGGCAATCGATCTTGGACCCCATTTCTGTCGTAGTATGCCTTGATGTCTTGGTACAGCTTGGCACATCGGATGAGTTTGCTCAGGCCTCGGATCTTCTCACTCTGTATGTAAAACAGCAAAGACCCAAGCCAGTCGGATGTTACTCCGAGGTCGCAAGCGTGTAAAAAGTCCATCTTGCGGCAAGCCGTATTGAATCCTGGGCAAGAAAATAATCTCGACACCAATTGATTCTGCTGCCTCTGGCGCATGAAGAAGTCCATGCTGGAAATGACAGGATACCTGACACAAAAGCAACTGCCAGGAATAACCGATCGACTTCAACTGTCTAGCATGCCTCACACGTCGAAATTAAAAGACAATTCTTTCCTGGTGGCGATATTTCGAACCGGTTAATTGACTCCTTAAGTCGATTGTATCATGCTAGGGTATGCCAAAAGATACAAAACTTTGAATCTATCAATCCCAGATGCTTGGCGAAAGTCTGAGTATCAAATTTTTTCAAACCAGCTCGGGGGCACATACACCGCCAACAGATAAACCCCTTCGAACTCCAGGAAGGGAAGCTCAAAACGTCCTTGTAACAGCTCCAATCAGCTCGAAATTCAGCCAGAGCAGCTCGCAGTGGAAGCTTTTTGCCTGCCAAACGTTGTCGATAACTATCGGTTCGATTGAAGGGCGTGCCATCGTGTCGGCAGCTTGGCATGCTCCCCGTCGCCAGCTGCTTAAAGGACCACTGGATGATTTCGAATACATCCTCAAAAGTTTGCGATTTGGATACAAATTCTTTTGGAAAGGCCGCAACAGGCAGGCGAAGATTCTGCTGGCCAAAGATGTTCAAAGAAATAGTCTCCAAAGTCATGGATCGGTCGCTGTTGAAAGGCACACCATCGCACCACATGCCCATGAGGAGAGTGGATTCAAAATCCAAGCCCAACTCACCCTCCAAAAAATGCAAGTGGTTCTCCAGGTCAGGCCTGTCAGGCAGGATCTCGGCTTGCTGCTGAAGCAAGGCCTCTGGCGTGTTCACTTTGAGCAGTGAGTGCAAGGATTCGTGAGGCAGCAAAATTGCCAAGGAATACTCTTCAGACGTATTCTTCGCCTGATTCCAGCCACGAACTTTTGCATGATATAACGAAGGCCATTTCGTGTTTCTGAAACATTTGCGCAAAAGATCCCGATGGGTGTTGCGAGTCTCTGGGCGGACCTGTAAGTCTTCCACATGCAGTGCCCCGGCTTGCTGTGCTGACCGCAGTACTCGAGCGCTTCGCTCAGAACTGAGCTCATTGTTTAAAAATATGTCGACCATCTCGGACCTGAATCGTTTTGCAGGAGCAACGGCCTGGACATCTTCTGTTGTCAAAGATCTTTTGTTGAACATTGCCGGCAAGTCTCGAATGCTACAGAACAATGTCTGGACAGTCAAGAATTAGTCCAAAATACATGCGGAAATCACATATATTCAGTACATATATATATATATATATATATATGTGTATATATATATATATATATCTGTATTTTTAAAAAAACATACACTGTCTTAGCATATGAGTTTACTTAGATCTTAAGAAGCTATTTGCACGTGCCTGTGCGACATGGGGCCAAGCCTGCAGAATGTAAGAAGCAACAGAAAGTCTGCAAGCACTCACGGGTCTCATAGCTGCAAACATGCGAGAATAAGCATTGCATGCACGCATTTTCTACCACTGCGAGGTCAGTGCAGCCTCTCCTGCCAAGGAGCTCCGTCTCAAGGCGAACTTCGAACAACACCTGTACTCCTACCGGATAATATCATCGAGGGTGATGAATCTCAAGCCTAGGGCCGATCACTCCATCAGGCCATTGACTTTCTTGAGCAAAGCCTTGCTGCCTTTGTCGTGGTTGGCAGCCTGGTCGACGACAGTGTGAAAGGTGGCCACAAGCTCGGTGCAATCGGAAGTAACATCCGCCGGCACACGCTCGGCCTCGTGCTGGCGAAGAACACCCAAGAAGTCCTCGAGAGCTGCGATCGCCTGATCGACGTCGTCCTTGCGATTATCCCATGTTTTGTCCCCGCTGTACTTCGTGGAAATCTTGGTCTTCAAAGACTTCAGCTCCTCGTTGTTTTGGGTCAGCTTTTTCTTCTCGGCCACGATCTTCTTCAAAAGATCTTTCGCCAGGGTGAAGCTCTGGCTCGGCTGCACAGCCGGATCCTTGGAACTGGAGCTTGGCGCACTCTTGCCCAACATGATGTCGAGGGACCTCTTGTCCTTCAACTGCAAGTTCTTCATGCCGGAACAATGGCTTCCCAGGGACTCCTCCGTCTTAGTGGCCTGGCGGGCCACCTGGCCTTTCGAGTGCATGTAGAAGTACTTGCTGAGCACCTCGAACTTGGGGTGAATTTTCGTCGATCTCTCATAGCCGTACCGCTTTTCGGCTTCGGACATCAGCTCTTCCAGCAGATCCTTCTTCATATCTTCCTCCAAGCCGCTTTCATCGATGCCCTCCAGCTTGAAAATCGCCGTCCTGCATGCACTGTGCATGCATGCTCAATATATATAATCATCCGTTCCATAGTCGAAGCCTAGAGAATATTATCATAGAATAGACAATCAAACAATAAGCAGAAATCTGACAAAACTGCCACCGAAAATCCGAGTGTACCAGTTCTTCACGGTATCTTCGCGCTCACTGTTGGTATTCACGGTCGTCTTGACCAAATCGTGTACCCAATTACACTGACGGACGCCGAACTGTGAGACCTTGCTCAATATCTCTCTCTTGGTGGCAATGTCCCCCGCCTCGTACTCCTGCCCAGGAGCACGAGTGGAACGAAAACAAGAATCAAAACAACTGGCACGGAAATGCAAGATGCAGGCGGTCCTCGAATACTTTTTGGGCGTTTTGTTTCTTGTTAAAGAACGGGCTTCACTAAGGGTTCCTACCCACAAAGACTGTCGGACACTTTTGTTCCTGGGCACGGTGTGTCCTGGGGTCTCGAGCCTGCACGTCGCGTGTGCGTGACGGCTGTTCCTGTACATTAACTGTACTGCACTAGCTGTGTTACTGTTCCTGGCAGAATGTTTAACACCCCGCCTTCGGAGTTAGCGAAAGTTCCTCGACTGAGGTGACTCCGACTTTTCCTAAACAAACAGTAAACACGCTGCAGTTCCTTTTCACTTGCAAAACAAACACTGTTCCTCATTGCAAACGTATGCGCACGTTCACTCGCAATCCTCTCCAAGGTTGCTCGACTGTACAAAAGACGTTCCTGCACTTTACCTAGATCACCACAGAAACAAAAAGGGCTGTGCCACGGTTCCTGTGTCCTGCTGCTTCTTTCCTCGGCTCTCTGGCCTCAGTACTGCTCGCGGTTCCTTTGCTTCACTGGAAGTTCACTTTGCCTTCCTCTTCGCTGTCTTTAGCTTCCTCTTGGTCTTGAAGCTGTTCCTTTAGCCACTCTTCTTTCATCTTTGCTTGCGCTTTGCACTTCTCTTTTCCTTGCTTGTCCTTTGACGCCGCTTTCCAACCTGTTTCCTTTGATCCTGAATACCAGTACCACTGTGCCTTGGACTCGTTCCACTTCCACTGGTATTTCCTGTTCTGGAAACTGTAGACTGCAAACCAGTTTCCTTCAAACTCTCCTTTTCCTTTTCCTTTCATGAACGATGCTTCGTTCACTGGTCCTTTGGCGGACAGTTCTGGGTCGTCCTTGTCTTCTTCCTTCTGCTTGTGCTGTGTGACGTTCGGTGGCTCCTTTCCTGTTGCTTTTCCTGTTCCTTTTGCTTCTGGCTTCTCCTCTTCCTTTGCTGGTGTTGTGTCTGGTTCTGTGGGTGCCTGCGACCCGGCTGCTGATCCTCTGCTCTCAAGCTCCTGTGTAAGGCTTGCAATCCTTTCTTTATCCTCTTTGCGTTCCTTCATCATCTCCTTCATCATTTCTTCAAGCTTCTGGATCCTGTCTGCTTCACCTGATCCTGTTGCTGTTGTTGCTGCTGCCTTCTTTTCTGCTTCCTTCTTGGCAATGTACGCTGACGCTGCCTTTTGATCTTCCTCTCTTTTCTTTCTGGCTTCCTTCTCCTTTCTTTTCTTCTCCTGCTCCTTTCTTTCCTTTTCCTCTTTGGCTGCTGCGGCTGCTGCTTTCTCTTCTTCCTCCTTTGCTGCTGCCGCTTCGGTCTCCTCCTTTTCCTTTGCTTCTCTCTCTGCTTTGGCTTTGGCTGCTGCTTCTACCTCTCGCCTTCTCTCGGCGGCTGCGGCTGCTTCCTGCCTTGCTGCTTCCTTGTCTCTCTTCTCCTGCTCGTCTGCTGCCGCTTCCAAAATCAACCTTGCTTTGGCAATCTGCTCCTCTTTTGCCTTCTTCTCCTCTTCTGCTTTTGCTTTTGCTTCTCTTTGTTCCTTTGAGATCCTGTCCTGTTCTGCCCAGTATTTGCGATCATGTTCATCTCGAGGTCGAAATCCTGTGCTTTCTGCTCTTGCCTTTGGCTTTCCTTTTCCTTTTCCTTCCTTCTTTCCTTTTGTTCCCTTCTCGTGCTTGTACGTGTAGTCCTTGTCGACCCACTGCTTTTCTCCTGTAACTCTGTGTTGCCTGTAGATCTCGCCGTTCTCGGAGTATTCCTTCCATTCGCTGGCGTAGTCGTAGAGGTACGGAAAAAGCTTCTTCTCCTCTTCCTTTTCCTTGAGCCTTTGCTTGCTTCTGGCGTTGATCTCCGCGATCTTCTTCTTCCTTCTCTCTTCCTTTGCTTCCTCACTTTCTTCTTCCTCTGCTGCTGCTGTTGTTCCTTCATCGGGGTACTCCCCGGGATCTTCTCCTCCAACGTAGCTGCTGACGTAGGCCTCGTTCTCGTTCTCGTTGTCCTGCTCTCGTTCCTGGATGCCCTCGAAGTAGCCTCGGTCCGAATATTCCTTCCTTTCCTGGGACGTAGGTGACGTAGCTCTCGACGGTGCTGTTCCTTGTCCGTGTCCTTCACGACGTAGTTCACCTTCTAGTTCTCGGTCCTTGGCTTCTCTTTTCCTTTGTTCTTCTTCGTCTTCTTCCTCTTCTTCTTGTTCCTCTTGCTGCTCGTAGAAGTCCTGCATCATCTGGTTCAGCTGTTCCTTTACGGCGTCACATGTGCCTAGGACGAAGGCCATGTGTTCCTTGACCTGTTGCCGGTCTCTGTCGTTCTGTTCGGCCATTTCCTGAACCTGGTGCTTGACGTCGTAGATTTGTCCTGTCAAGGACTCTACACAACCAGCCACGTGTTCCTGGCTTTTGCGCAAACGCGCAGCTTCCTCTGTGTTCTTCCTGATCGACTCCGCGATCAAGTTCCTTTCTTCTGAAGCGTTCCTTAAGGCGGTTGCCGCCTCTCTCAAGGTAGAAAGTTCCTTGAACACTTCTTCGGTGCTTTTGCTCGAACTCGCGCTTGCTTCCATGGCTGCTAAGGTTCCTGGAAGGTTTCCTTGACCTTCTGCTACCGGGCGAACTAGTTCCTGGATACCTGAGCGTTCCGCGAGTGTTCCGCAGAGTTCCTTGAGCTGCGAAAGCATCTCACAACATGTTGTTCCATGAGCTGTTCCTGCAGACGTTCCTAGCTCACATGCACTCGTGTCACTGCACATGCCGTCCTGCTCACATGCACTTGCACAACAGAAAACATGTTCCTGAAAGTCTGGCTGAAACTCTTCTTCCTGAAAACAACTCTCAAGACACTGTTCCTTGAAACTCTGAATCTGAAGACTGTCTGAAATACCTGAAATTCCTGCAAACAACAAAGCTGCAAAAGACAAAGTTCCTGGGCTCTTGATCATCCTTACAACTGCTTTAGCTTGTGTTTGGGCCTTGTGTTCCTTGAGCTCTTCTCTGCCTACTGGTTCGTTCTCGCTGGTTTGAAAACCTAACCAGTGCAACAACAGTCTGATCCTTTTCGCTGAAAGGGGCTTGGTACCTATGTCGGCTGTGTTTTCCTTGGTTCCTACTGGGTGAACACTAATTGTTCCTTCTTTGTGGAGGTCTTGAAGAAAAAGGGTCCTGATCTGCAAATGCTTGACTCTTCCTACACCTTGCCTTGTAATAATTCCTCTAGCTGCAGAAGAATCCATGTACAAGTGTACCTTGCATTGTTTCCTGGTCAAGAATTCTACTGCTTCCTTCAACAATATAGAATCTGACGCTGCTGACGCTCCTGCGTAGTACTCTGCTTCACCACTGCTCAAGCTAACCGACTTCTGGTTCCTAGAAAAGGAGTAAATGCACTGACCGTCTAGGCAAACAATTCCTGAAGATGTTGAGCGCCTTGTGTCCTTCTTTCCTGCCCAATCTGAATCGCTGAAGACTTCCAAAAGGTGGTGTTCCTTGGGCCTTATTCCTGTAAAGTCGTAGTTACCATTCCTGATGGATTCATGGAGATTACTGAGTCCTCTAGG